CTGTCACACGCAGCCACACAGAGGGGCGTGGTGCACACGGAGAGTCCCTCAGAACAATGTCACACAGAGATACACAGAGGGGTGTGGACCACACAGGCAGAACACAGAGTCCCTCGAATAGTGTCCATCACAGAGGGATGTGGAGCACACGGAGTCCCTCGAACAGTGTCCATCACACAGGGATGTGGAGCACAGAGTCCCTCAGAACAGTGTCCATCACAAACAGAGGGATGTGGAGCACACTGAGTCCCTCAGAACAGTGTCTGTCACACACAGAGGGGTGTGGAGCACACAGAAAATCCCTCGGAACAGTGTCCGTCACACACAGAGGGGTGTGGAGCACAAAGAGTCCCTCAGAACAGTGTCCGTCACACACAGAGGGATGTGGAGCACACAGAGTCCCTCGAACAGTGTCCATCACACACAGAGGGATGTGGAGCACAGAGTCCCTCAGAACAGTGTCCATCACATACAGAGGGGTGTGGAGCACACAGAGTCCCTCAGAACAGTGTCCATCACACAAGGATGTGGAGCACAGAGTCCCTCAGAACAGTGTCCATCACACACGGAGGGATGTGGAGCACACAGAGTCCCTCAGAACAGTGTCCATCACACAGGGATGTGGAGCACAGAGTCCCTCAGAACAGTGTCCATCACACACAGAGGGATGTGGAGCACACAGAGTCCCTCGAACAGTGTCTGTCACACACGGAGGGATGTGGAGTACAGAGTCCCTCAGAACAGTGTCCATCACACACGGAGGGATGTGGAGCACAGAGTCCCTCAGAACAGTGTCCATCACACACAGAGGGGTGTGGAGCACAGAGTCCCTCGAACAGTGTCCATCACACACAGAGGGATGTGGAGCACAAGAAGTCCCTCGAACAGTGTCCATCACACACAGAGGGATGTGGAGCACAAGAAGTCCCTCGAACAGTGTCCATCACACACGGAGGGATGTGCAGCACCCAGCGTCCCTCGAGCAGCGTCCATCACCCACAGAGGGCTGTGCAGCACCCAGGCAGCACACAGCGTCGCTCGCAGCAGTGTCTGCGGCACGCAGCGGCGCTCCCGTGCCCTCGCCCACACGCTGGCCCCCGCCTGCCGCTCGGCTCACTCGCTCGCTCCGTCCCTCTCGCTGTCCCGCCGGCAGCAGCGCCGCACGCACCGCCCGCCCCGCTCCGCCCGCCGCTCCTCCGCCCCCCTCGCCCTGCCCGTCCCGCCTCTCGCCCGCCCTGCCAGCCCCTCCCCGAGCCGGCGCTGCCCGTGTGGGCGCCCGGCCGGGGCTGCTCGGCTGCCGCTGCCCGCGCCTGGCGCCCGCCGGGCCGGAGCGGGGCCCCCTCACGGCGGCGGCGGCGGGCGCGTCCGGGCGGGATGTCGGGGACGCGCTGCCAGGCGCTGTACCCCTTCTCCGGGGAGCGGCACCGGCAGGGGCTGCGCTTCGCGGCGGGTGAGCTGATCACGGTGCTGCAGGTGCCAGACGGCGGCTGGTGGGAAGGGCAGAAGGAGGACGGGCTGCGCGGCTGGTTCCCGGCCAGCTACGTCCAGCTGCTGGAGGTAGGAGCGGGGCCGCGGGGCGGGAGGGGCCGGCCCGGCGATGTCCCGCGGCGGAACCGGCGGTCCCGGGGCTGTCGCGGTGCTGCTGTGGGATCCCCCTCGATATCCATGTGCCCTGCCCCGGGCAGGTGTCCCGGTGCTGTAAGGATCCGCTCGCCCGGCCTCGCCCCGGCAGCCAGAGCAGCGTTTGGTGCTCGTAGCTGTAGCCATGGAGAGGCAGAGCTCAGGTGCGTGACGAGCTGCGGACTGCTCCGGGCGCTTGGGTTTTCACAGGCGCTGGCAGCAGAAGTCAGCGAGTGGCTGCGGTGATGCAGCCCGTGTCGGTCGCTCACGAGGATGCTGGGCTAGTTCTGCTCCTCATTACCTTTCACTGAGCCCGTCGTGGAATATGTTGTGGAAGAGGTAATTCAGGTATAGGATGATGGAATCACAGAATGGGTTGGATTGGAAGGGACCTTAAAGTTAATCTCATTACACCCACTCTCACATGTGCAGGAATATCTTCCATTAGACCAGGTTGCTCCAAGTCCTGTCCAGCCTGGCCTTGGACACTTCCGGGAGAAGCCACAGGTTTTCTGGGCATCACCACCTTCGCAAAAGAGAATTTCTTCCTAATGTCTATTATAAATCTGGCCTTCTTCAGCTTGAAGCTGTTCCCCCTTCACTCCATGCCCCTCTCCAGTGTCCTTCCCCAGTATCTACAGGTACTGGACGATTCTCTAAGTTCTCCCTGCAGCCATCTCTTCTCTCCCTCTGTTGCAGCAGTTCCCCAGCCAGCTGCTGTCACCTCGCACCTGTGGCATGGCTCAGGGAACCCCAGCAGGGTTAAGGCAGGTTGTGCAGACCCATGGACTTTCTGTCAGGATACTGAAAAGTTCTATCAGCTTCAGTCATTTTCAGGGCCCTGACAGCTGGGATGACAGTTGGATTCCCACCTCGGGACTGCTTGTGCCTGAATGTGTTTACGGCTTTCAGTCCATGCAAACAAGACACCATATGAGGGTAAAAAATATGTCCATGAAGAGTGCCTTCACAATCTCTGCATGTGAATTCTGAAACATCTCATGCACTAAAGCAAGAACTTGCCGTGACCCCATCAGTCCTCTCCTCGCTGGCCATTCCCTGTTGTCATTTGGAATGGTCTCCAAGGCTGGGGACATGGCAGTGGTGTCCAGGAGCATCTCCCTGTGGTGACTGGGCTGAAGCCATTCACAGCACATTTCTCAGGTCAGCCTCTGTTTGTCCTCCCCTTCCAAGGGGAATCAGCCAGCCTGCTTTGCTTATATGTAAGGCAGGCAGTGCTCATCCCCAGTTTTCCATGCACACTTCCAGGGAATCCAGAGAAGCAGAGTCCTGAGCAAAACCTGCCCACCAGCTGCATGTAGAGCTTTTCTGTGAGGAAAAGATTCTGTGCAAAAGGGCATTTTGCCCACAAATCTGGTGCTGCCTTTGGATTTCTCTTGTCCAAATAATTTAAAAATCTATGATGTTTCCACTGATTTCCTGTTTCTTACTAATTTTCCTGGAAAGACAGGGAAGTAGAAGCAAGAATTGCCCAGGAAGGGCTACAAGAGTGAGGCCTTGGGCTTTCCCGTGCAGCTGACGCACTTGGGATTTCTTTTGTTAGTTTCAGAATGTGAGAGTCCTATTGTTTGTCAGTTTTGCCACCTACAAGATCATTTATTGGGGTACATGAATGTTTGTGGTTTCACAAATTGCTAAATGTTTACACATCTAGGAACTTGGGAGTTGTTTGAGGAAAAATGTATCATGAGATGCAAAAGATTCTGCTGAGCAGAGGCAGTGGGGAATTGCTTCAAAATACCATGACTTTGCTCTCCCATCAGCTCCTTCTCAGAAACTCTTGTTTCCCTGCTTAAGTCTGAGCAAGTTTCACCATGCCTACACCCCATAAATGTTACTTTCTGACCCTTGGCTTGTGTACCACTCACAGCTTTGATGGAGACCACTTGTCCACACAGCCTGGCCCCCTTTCCCTTGGGCAAGAAAAAAGAAAGAAGGCAAGAAAAATGGCAAGGGCTGAGTGTGTTCACTCTGGCATGTTTTCCTTTTCTCCAGAAATGGTACCTAATAAGGACTGTGAGCTGGAGTTAAAAAATACATCAAATGAGAGCTAATTAACCAAATCCATGGGATCACAGGTACTTGGCGCACATCAGAGTAGATGTGTGAGAAGGAAGCTCTGTGTGTGTGTGTCTGTCATGGCTCTGTTCAGTTAGCCTTTCCCTTCTCTACAGGTGGTTTATCCCTTGTGTGCAGCTTGCTCAGGGACCTGATCAATCTGAAAGACGCCACAACAGGAATGCTCTCCTTCTCTGCTCTCTGATCCGAGTCCCAGCCCAGCCACGCTGACATGGGAACCGATGTCAGGGAGGTGGTCACAGTGCATGTCCAGATGGGGCCATGGACATCAGTCTCCTTTCTGTACCAGGCAGCCCTTCCATGGGCTTTGGTGGCCCTGGTCTTGCAGCTCTCAGTAAGGTTCAGTGCTCTTGTCCTCAGCTGAACTTGAGCACACATGGTTGTTTGGAGAGGAAGATGTTACTCTCTCCCTTTGTCCTGCCCTCATTTCCTTGTGCCCAGTTTACCCCAGCAGCCACTTGTGGTCTCTCTGGAGCCTGAAGGAGAGCTGGCTGCATTTTCTGCCACAGCAGAGACTGAACATGCCTCGTGGCATTGCCTGCCTCCACAGCACACACCCTTTCTTCTCTCAGCAAGGCCCATCGGTGGCTGGGAGGTACCAGGAGGAGGTGGTCTTCTTCTGAAGCCTTTGTGACTTGAAGTCTGCACCGTGTTTAGACAGGAAGGCTTGATTTTCTGATTTGTGGGGCTTTACACTTACCAATCCAGGGATCTCATATGACAGCACTGGTTTGAAAGTCTGTGCTGAGTTTTGGTCCTGGGCTGAAAGAGGGAAGTGAGAAAGGTGTGAAGAACACCAGAAAGGGGAAACTGTGTTTTCAATTCATTCATCACAGAGATCAAGGAAAAGACCTTGGGGCAAGAGAGACATAGAGAGGTAGAGAGGTAAAGACATTTGGCATCCTTTTGTTTCCTGCTCCTGTGGCTGCTGCAAGCTCACAGTGGAGAGTTAGAGGAAAACAGTGATGGCTGGAGGTTCCTGCTCAAGGCAGTGATGGAAGCAGTGAGAGCTGGAGGAGGACTGGAGGAGCCCATGGTAGGGACAAGCCAGAAATGGCATGTCTCTGTGAGCTCTGGAGAGGATACCACTATCAGAGAGGAAAAGTGATAACATAAACCAAAAAATTATCAAAAGCAGAGAGCAAAGAGAGAAAGGGAGGGTGTCGGCTTCGTGGTGGGGCTCCAGATGGATTCCCTGAGGCTGGGCTGGTTGGGAGCAGTTGAAGAGGCTGCTGTGGTTTTAATCACAGAATCACTGGGTTGGAAAGGACCTTTGGAGATCAGCTAGTCTGGCTTGCCTGGCTATGTCTGTTAGGTTTTCAGTGTGTGCAAGGGTGCACACCACAAGGTGTTCTGGACAATGTATTCCAGTGTTTAACTACCCTCACAGTTTTTTCTTGTGTCCTTTAAAGGAGTCTGTGTCCCTTTAAAGGGATTTTCTGTGTTTTAATCTGTACCCATTGCAGCTCATCCTTTCCCTGCGTATCACTGAGAACAGTCTATATATTTTTTTTACTATCCCACCCATAGATTTTTATTTACATTGATAACATCCCTCTCAAGCTTTCTTGTCTTGATGCTAAACAGTCCCAGTTCTTTCAGCCTTTCTTTGTGTGACAGATGCTCCAGACTCTTAATCATCCTCATGGCCCATTGCTGTACTCTCTCCAGTGTGTCCTTGTCTTCCTTATGTTGGAAAACCAAGTACAGTTTCTTACACTGCTGTAGATAGTAGGTGAATGGAGAAATGGTCCCTAAGCAGTATTTCCTGAGCGTGAGAATCCATGGGCACTTTGGTTTTCCTTTGGCTGAGCTTGCTGTATGAGCAAGCAACACCCTTCTGCAAGATGAAGGGCTCAGGGAAGGAAGATGTTGATCCATAGCCTATTGAGTAGATACCATCAACTTCAACCCTCACCTCTCTTTTGGTGATTAATAGCTATGGCAGCTGTGAGACCTGAAAATCAGGGATTTTCTGACCCTTTCCTCCCTCCTGTGTGCTCTATATTTTTGCCTGACCTTTTGGCCATTGAGCAGAGCCCTACAGGGCCCCTCAGTACCAGACTGTGGCAGCCCCGGGTTAGGAAATTGGCCTTCCCAGCCTGGAGCAAGAGGGAATCTGTGCAGATGCAGGTGAGGAGGTGGTGCACACAGAGCCAATGGAGTGGGGTGTGTGATGCACTGAGGGATTTCTCAACAGCTCATGTTTCTTATCCTGAGGCTGGCTGCCTCCTCACCCCGGCTGCATCAGGGTGTTTGGGATGATGATGTGTGTAGAGAGATCTGTACATCTCCAGAAGTACGGGCAACCTGGCAGGAGGCTCAGGTGCTCTAGTTTGTGACAACCTTTATGGTGCAGGGCAGCACAGATGTTGAGAAAGTGGGGTAGTGTGTATTCCAGGAGGTGCTTTGCATGGGACCCTCTGGAGAAACCTCTGTTGTGTCTGATTTCTCTAGACAAGTGATTTTTGGAGTATTGGATAGATGTATCACTCAGTCACATTTGCAAGTGGTTTCTTTGAAAACCTATTTTTGGGCCTTGATTTTTGTATTTGTAGTTAACTAGAAATCACTTATATAAGCAGCAGCAGCAGCAACATATGCAAATTTGCTGGAAATTGTCAGCACTTTTTATAGCTTCAGTCATCCCACAGATGCAAGTCTCTGTATGAAGCACAGTGTGTGCTTCCAGAATGGATGGAGGTGGCTCTGGAATCTGACTGAGTGGGCTGGACTGAGTAGGACTTCGAGCTGCCACTGATCTTATCTGCACTCCACAGCTTGATTTACCAGAACTGTGAGGCACTTAGGAAGGAATGGTGTGCTTCTCCCTGGTG